GCCTATGGCAGGGGGTGGGATGAGATGGCGTTAAATTCCTTCCACCCCAATTCCATGATGTTCTCATCCTCTTGTTCTCTGTTCTCCTCCTCTCCTCCTTGAGGTTCACATGTTGTTCCATGCCGTGACCTGCAGAATTCCTCCCTGTCAAGTTGTATCAACTTCAACTAAAGCTTTTGTAGCAAATTTCCTCTTTATTTAGCATCTTCCTGTCTCAGTGACTTCACCTCTAACTGGAGATGCTCAGCACTAATGAGCTGCCAGGACCTCCATCACACAGAGTATTTAACTGTATCCTGGGATGGTTTTCTCCATCCCCTCAGTAATATTTATTAGACCCAAAATATGGATGAAAAGGATGAGAACATCTCATTTTCTGTTTAATCCAAGTCATTTTTTTCACTCTACATCTTGCAGGATAAATTGGTTCTTGAGCTTGACATTTCTAAGGGGCAAATGGTGCCAGTGCCAACTGGTTTGTTTTCACCTTTGCACTTTCCTCACATGCTTTGCAGTGCTGAGTTCCCTTGGTTTCCTTCCAGAATGGCCTAATGATCTATTCCCACTTTGGAATTTGAGTTAGAGCTTGGCAATTTGTTGCAGGATGTTAAGAAAAACCTGGATTAACCTAATTTACATATCTGTGTGTCCTTACTTATGGATGTATATACATAAACGAGGCTTCTCCATCCAGTTTCTTCCCATTTCCCATGCAGTCAAAGAGGGTTTTCCCCCAAATCCTGGGATTTGGGCAAGGGCAGGTAGAGCTCAGCAGGTAAATCCCGAAGATCCTGACAGAGACTTGAAGTTTTATGGACACTAAGCTCCTTGGAAGGGCTTTCATTTGAAATGGCAATAAATGAGGCTGTAAAAGGTGCATTCCATGAGCTTCCTGCTTGGATGCTCCAAGGTGGATCTCCAGGGGGTTCTTTGACACCTCAAATCACCCCAGGCTGTGAGGGCACAGGTTTGTGGGCCAAGGCGTCGTGTGTGGAGGCTTAATCCCAGGGATGAAGCAGCTCTAAAGCCAAGGAACAGCTTTGGGTGGAAGAACTGAGGCTTGGAGAGCCTGGTTGGATCCTGCAGGCATCATTCCAGCCAGGAATGCTCTCAGGGCAGGCAGGATAATGGGAGAGATTTGTGGCTGTTGAGTAAATCTCTCTTTTAGCATCAAGTAATTCTTAGCAAAATCTCTTCACAACAGATGCACTTAATTTGGGAAGATTTAGGGGATGGTAAATGGATTGTGGTGGATGGAGCAGAGTTTGGGGATTAACTGGGCTCTGGGGCAGGGGGAGAAATCCATTAGGGCATTTCAAAGGGGGTTTAGGCTAAGTAGGATACTGCAGAAACAATGGAATGGGGATGGAGAGAGGCTGGGGGTTCTCAGCCTGCAGAAGAGAAACTCCGGGGAGACCTCAGAGCCCTTTCCAGTGCCTAAAGGGGCTCCAGGAGAGCTGCAGAGGGACTTGGGACAAGACATAGAGAGACAGGACACAGGGAATGGCTTCACAATGGAAAAGGGCAGGGACAGATGGGATGTTGGGAAGGGATTATTCCCTGTGAGGTGCTGAGGGGCTGGGATGGAATTCCCAGAGGCTGCTCCATCCTTGGGAGTGTTCCAGGCCAGGTTGGATGGGGCTTGGAGCTTCCTGGGCTGGTGGAAGGTGTTCCTGGCAAGGGGTAGAACAAGGTCATCTTTAAGGTCTCTTTCCCCCCAAACCATTCCATGAATGTAGGGAAGACCATGCTAAGGATTTCTCTGCCTCTCAAATCCTTACAGATCTCAGTGAAAAATGGACTCTTTTCCTTCCTTTCTGGCAGGAGTTCCTCTCTCCACCCAATGGGGACCCCAAGGCTACTTCTACCCCATCCAGATTGCACAGTATGGACTGAGCCACTACAGCAAGAACCTCACAGAGAAGCCACCACATATCGAGGTGTATGAGACAGCTGAAGACAAGGACAAGACCAGCAGGACTGGAGACTGGACAGTGCCCAAAGGCTGTTCCTTGACCACAGTGTGGGACAAAGCCAAGTTCACCAATGTCAAACAATTTGTGGCTCCAGGTGGGTTGTCCCAAATCCATACAAACCACTCCTGTTGGTACAGGTGATACCAGGGGAGATATAACCTGTTAGGGTTCCCCTGTTTCAATTTCTCCATCCCTCACATCTGACCTCAAACATCACCTCGTGTCACACAACAGCTCAGCAACACTCACCGGTGTCACACAGTTCGTGGCTCCAGCTAGGTTGTCCCAAATCCACACAAATCACACCTGTTTGTACAGGTGATACCAGGAGAGATGTAACCTGTTGGGGTTCCTATATCTTCATTTCCCCTGGGTGACTCCCCATCCCTCACCTCTCACCTCAAACATCACCTCATGCTACACAACAGCTCAGCTTGGAAGGAACCTCTGGAGGTCATCTCCAGATCTTGTCCTCCAACCTCTTTTTTTCTGTCCCTGCAGAGTTCTCCTCCCGTTTCCTCTCCCTCACTGTTTTTCCAGCCCTATTTGAATCCAAAGCCAAGCTGAATGTACACATGGAGGGTGATGAGGAGTCACATTCCCTGAGCCTTTCAGCTTCTGTCTCAAAATAGAAGCTAAAAAAAGAGCTGGAAGCAGTTGTGGAGCCTGGGAAATGGGAGGAGGGTGAGAAGCAGATGTTGACAGATGACAGATAAGGCTATTTTCAGCCTGGAGCAGGGGGAGCACGTGCAGGATCCAGAAGATTTTTCTCCCTTCACTGGGATCCAACTGTCTTGGGAAAATTGATGGTCTAAATTCTGGTTAACCTTAGTTAGAACCATAGAGTGTGAAGAGAGTTGTGGAGCCTGGGAAATGGGAGGAGGGTGAGAAGCAGATGTTGACAGATGACAGATAAGGCTATTTTCAGCCTGGAGCAGGGGGAGCACGTGCAGGATCCAGAAGATTTTTCTCCCTTCACTGGGATCCAACTGTCTTGGGAAAATTGATGGTCTAAATTCTGGTTAACCTTAGTTAGAACCATAGAGTGTGAAGAGAGACACAAGGATCATCCAGTCCAACTCCTGCCCTGGACAGGACACCCCAAAATCCCACCCTGTGCCAAACACCTCTTGAGCTCTGTCAGGCTTAGGGCTGTGACCTCTGCCCTGGGGAGCTGTTCCAGTGCCCAGACACCTCTGGGGGAAGAACCTTGTCCCAATACCCAACCTAACCCTGACCTAGTGCCCAACCACCATCTACCCAGCCTAAACCTCCCTTGACACAGCTTAAAGAAGTTCAGGTTGCCTTAAAGGAGGCACCAAGAGGGATTTGGGGATGTCCACAGGTGTTCCCCTTCCCCTGCAGACCCACAAGCGCCATTTTGTTGCCGTTTATCCATAATGGGAGATGCCAACAGGTTCTCCCCTCACAGATTTACTTTGATGCCTAACTAAGTATCATGTAAGAGCCCAGAAATTATGAAATTATCTCTGGGGTGCCCTAAAACTTTCCAGTTCCACCTGGGAATTGGTGTTACCTCTGGAATCTTCACTCCAGAGCTTAAAAGCTTTGGAGCCATGAGGGGTTTAGTGCTGAGCAGGCTGGGAGGGTATGGGTTAGGGGTTACAGCAGTGACAGGTCAATGGTTGAACTTGACTTTAGAGGTCTCCTCCAACCTTCATGGTTCTATGATTCTGTGTTAGGGTGTTCAGGCACTGAGATATTGCCCAGGGAGGTGGTGCAGTCACCATCCCTGGAGGTGTTTCAGAGGTGTCTGGATGTGGCACTGGAGGATCTGGTTTAGGGGTTACAGCAGTGGCAGGTTAATGGTTGGATTTGATGATCTTAGAGGTCTCCTCCAACTGTGATGATTCTGATTCTATGACTCTATGTAGCCTCTTAATGGGAGATGCCAGCAGGTTTTCCCCTCAGAGATTTATGCTTAAATAACATGTAAAAGCCCAGAAATGATGGAATTAGCTCTGGGCTGCTGTAAAATCTTTCAGCTCCACTTGGGAATTGGGGTAATCTCTGGAATCTTGAGTCCAGAACTCCAAGTCTTTGGAGCCCTGAGTGTTTCAGTGCTGACCATGCTGTGGTGCTTTGTTTTGCAGAGAGCACCGAGGGAGTCTCTCTGCAGTTAGGCAACGCCCGAGACTTCATTCTATCCTTCGACCTCAAGTTCCTGACCAATGGCAGCGTGTCCGTGGTGCTGGAGACCACGGAGAAGAACCAGCTCTTCACAGTGCACTACGTCTCTAACAACCAACTCATTGCTTTCAAAGACAGAGACATCACCTATGGCATTGGAGCCAGGACTAGCTGGAGCACCCTCACCAGGGACCTCCTCACTGACCTGCGCAAGGGCGTTGGCCTCTCCAACACCAAGGCCGTGAAGCAAACCAAGATCATGCCCAAGCGTGTGGTGAGGCTGGTGGTGAAGGGCAGAGGCTTCATCGACAACATCACCATCTCGGCCACCGCCCACATGGCTGCGTTCTTTGCCGCCAGCAATTGGTTGGTGAGGAACCAGGACGAGCGTGGTGGTTGGCCCATCATGGTCACCAGGAAGCTGGGAGAAGGTTTTAAATCCTTGGATCCAGGGTGGTACTCGGCCATGGCACAGGGTCAGGCTATCTCCACGCTGGTGAGGGCCTACCTGCTGACAAAGGAGCAGGTGTTCCTGAGCGCGGCGCTGAGGGCCACGGCGCCCTACAAGCTGCCGTCGGAGCAGCGTGGGGTCAAGGCTGTCTTCATGAACAGGCATGACTGGTATGAGGAGTATCCCACCTCTCCCAGCTCCTTTGTGCTCAATGGCTTCATGTACTCCTTGATTGGGCTGTATGACCTGAAGGAGACAGCTGGGGAGAAGCTGGGCAAAGAGGCACGGGTGCTCTATGAGAGGGGCATGGAGTCGTTGAAGGCCATGCTGCCACTCTACGACACTGGCTCAGGGACCATCTACGACCTGAGGCACTTCATGTTGGGCACAGCACCCAACCTGGCACGTTGGGACTACCACACCACACACATCAACCAGCTGCAGCTGCTCAGCACCATTGATGAGTCCCCTATCTTCAAGGAGTTTGTCAAGAGGTGGAAGAGTTACCTGCGAGGAGGACGAGCGAAGCACAACTGAGTTCCTGAGCCCACCCTACTGCCTCCCCCAGGAACACCTCCCAAGGTGACCTCCTCGCTTTTCTAGGGACTGTTTCAAAGAAGTGATCCTTACAAACTGATCTCCTGAAATCATTGCATTCCAGTGTGGAAAGATTTGGGGCTGTTGGGTGGGATTGGGGAGCTTCACATTGTCCTTAGTGCTCCACCGTCTGCACGAAGCCAAACGCCTCTGCGCTCTTGAGTTTTGAGGATGGTTTTGGGTTGGGTTTGACTTTTCCTTCTTCTAGGAAAACCTTTGCAGAAGCCATACAGGTCTGGAAAGTCCAGTTCTTGCCTGAAGAGTTGTCCGTGGCCTCTTAAGTTCTCTGTGTGTTGGAAGAGCTCATGTGGTGGCAACAGCGTCAGTGTGAATCCACTTGTAGCCTGGTGGTGCACAGTGTATCTTCTCAAGGTGGTTGTTTTTCACAGAGTCTTTTTTTTTGCAGGGGGGAAATCCCTGTTTTGATTTTTTCCAGATTTTTATCCAGTTCTCTGGCTGGAGAACCTTGAGCTGGAGGTTTTCTTCCAGCCATGTGGACGGAGAACGTGCGGCCGACGTCACATAAGCACAACTGGGTGGAGCTCTTGGAGCACCATGGAGCTTCAACCGCTTTTAGACAGCCAAACTCTCCATCACCCATCACTGGTCTCACCTAACTGGGATCCTTGGCCTGGACCCTGTTTTGGATTGAAGTTTGGAGCTTTGGCCACTTTGTTTTGGGGAGACTTGGGAATTCCTGAGTGGGACTTGAAGCTCATCTTGAGTTGTGCAGGAAATTCAGTTGGAATTGAGGTTCTAATTTTTAATCAGCTTGGATCCATCAAGCATTTTAGGAATGAAAGTTATCCCAGAGGCCTTTGCAGCTCCATCTGGGATTTAATCCCAGAGACGCTGTGGCTGTTCAAGACCAGGTTGGATGAGGCTTGGAGCAACCTGGGCTAGTGGAAGGTGTCCCTGGCAGAGAGGAGGAACAAGATGAGCTTTCAAGTCCTTTCCAACCCAAACCATTACAGGATTTTTGGGATTCTAGAATCATGATTCTACCTACTGTCCTACTCTCATTGTAAGGGGTTGTCACACCTCCAGCATTGACTTCTTGGGTGAGATTTGCCTTCACAGCTCTGCCAAGTGACCAAGGATGGCCATGCACATCTCAACACACACATCTAACCCAAGTGCTGGGATGCAGAAGAAACCAGGTGGGTTTCCCCCCAATTTTCCAGTCCTTTCACCCTTCTTGGCATGAGGCATCCTGGGTGATCCACAAGAGTCAAACCCACCCATGGCTGTCGTTAGGTTGGTTTGATGGTGGAGCAAATCTTGGCTTCTCAGCTCTGTTGGGTCATTCTGGGTTTGGCTCCAAGCCCCAGACTCCTGGTGAGGACATGGATTTGCTTTGGACTTTCCCACTGCTACATGTTGTACATGTAGGTGGAAGTTAAGATGTTCATCTCAAGGGCAGAGTTCATCCAAACCCCCAAATGCTGGTCACAGGAACAACATCCATCTGGATTTGAGGATTTGTTGTCTTTTTTCATGCTTTTTCTTTCATTTTGCCCAGATTTTTTGAAGCCACTTTGGAATTACTTGAGCTTATAGCTGCCATGGGTGGCAGAGGAGGAATTCCAATACCAAAGGTAGCAGAGGTGAATGGTTCCACACCTGTGTAGACACACACCAACCACCCTAAAAATACCCTTCCTCACCAGCCTCCTTAGGCAGGAGTAGAACCTGCTTCTACTCTCTTTCTGCAACATCTTGTCCCCAGTTGGAAGACCTGAAGAGACTGTTTGGGTGCTGCTCAAGAGATAGTTTTGGTGCCTTAGAGAGGCCACTATTTGCTCTTTGTTGGTGTTTTGTTAATTGATGCTAATTGCAGGATTGCTCATGGCTGATGTTCCACTTCCCAGAGCTGTGGGATGGCCATGGCCACGTTGGGCTTGTCACACCACGCGATCCTTAACATCCTGTTTTGTTGGCCTTAACACAGGTGGGACTTGGAGCATCCTCCAGCAGAGGTTGGAGAACCATGGAGAAGCCATGTGGGGTTTCTCCTGCTGTTCCCTTGATGGAGTTGTGCAGTGGAAGAGGATTATTGGACATGGTGCCAATGCCCTTGGTGCCCAAAACTTCATCAGATTCCTTTGAGTTGGGGTTTTGGCTTGTTTTCAGTCTTTAGAGTGACTGAGATCTTGGAGGCTAAGATCTTTCTTGGATACTAAGATATTTCTTGGAGACTGACGTCCTGGAGATCCTTGAGGTCTTTGAGACTGAAATATTTGAGATCTTGGAGACTCAGATCTTTGGGATCTTCGAGGTCCTTGAGACCTCTGAGATCTTTGAGATCTTGGAGACTGAGATCTTGGGGGCTAAGTTCTTGGAGACAGGGATCTTGGAGATCTCAAGACCTTTGAGAGTAAGATCTGTGAGACTGAGCTCTTTGACATCTTGGAGACTGACTTCTTGGAGACTGAGATCTAAGATCTTTGAGCCTTTGATCTAAGCCCTTTGACACTAAGCTCTTAAACACTAAGATCCATCACATCTTCGATGGGATCCACCACCCCTCCCCAGAATCACCACTCACATGGACTCCCAATGACACAAGCACAACCCTCCCAGCCTGCAGGACATCTCCTGAGAGCTTCTCTGTGCATTCACCTCCTCATCCCCCTTTGAGTTCCTCCTCATCCCCTTGAGTTCCTCCTCACGCCCCTTGGACTCGAGGCCGTTGCCGCCGTCGCGTTGAAGCTCTCCAGCGCGTGGTATATATGCAATAACTTGTTTACAGGATGCTGTAGGCCAAGGTGGCCCTTGGTGTAAAGCTCTACAGACTTTGCAGTTGAAGCACAATGTGCACAGCTTAGTTTTCTACTCAGCCAAACAGGAAAGGTTTTTGCAGCAGGAAGAGGTTCTACTATGTTTCTATACTGAAGGGAAATGGATCAAGGTTTGGTCTTCATGGAAAGCTGCTTTCTAAGGCTGTAAAATAAAGTTTTTTATCCTAAGGCAACCATGGGACATCTTCATTCTTCAGGTGGTTTCAGTCCTTCACGTGGTGGCTTTGAGTTGGGGTTTTTTTTGGGGTGTTCTGGAAGGTTTTGATTTGAAAGAAACTTCAGGTTTTCCCTCATGAGAGTTTGGTGAGTTAAGAGACAGAAATTGATGTTCTCTTGCTGCTTAGGTGAAGTTCATGTGTTGTGTTGGTGGCATGAATTTATTTCTGCTCAATGTGCCTTGGTTTGATCTTTATGGGGTTGGTTAAGTGATCATTTGAACTGGTCAATCCCAAAAAAAATGCTGAACAAAGGTGGTTGGGAAGGTCAGGAGTGCAGCACTAGTAGAGCTCCAGGATTCTGGAGTCAGACTGGGCGAGCTGGGAGTATCCAGCCTGGAGAAGAGAAGCTCCAAGGAGACCTCAGAGCCCCTTCCAGTGCCTAAAGGGGCTCCAGGAGAGCTGCAGAGGGACTTGGGACAAGGCCTAGAGGGACAGGACACAGGGAATCGCTTCACACTGACAGAGGGGAGGGACAGTTGGGATATTGGGAAGGAATAAGGATTCCTCTGAGGGTTCTGAGGCACTGGCATAGGTTGCCCAGAGCAGCTGTGGCTGCTCCATCCCTGGGAGTGTTCCAGGCCAGGCTGGATGGGGCTTGGAGCAACCTGGGCTGGTGGGAGGTGTCCCTGCCCATGGCAGGGGGTGGCACTGAGTGGGCTTTAAGCTTCTTTCCCACCCAAACCATTCCAGGATTCTCCCAACTGCTTGGGTGGAAACATTGATGTCATTCCTTAGCAGGCTGTTAAAAACGGATTGAAATTAGAAGTGGATTTAAATGTTGTCTTGGTGATGGGTGGGAGTGTTTGCACCAATGGAGCAAATAGTGGCCATGGATCCAGAGGTCATGGCCAGGGGGGTTGGGATTTGCTGATGGGATCTTGCTCTCTCCATGGGGATCACTTACTTAACGAACCCATTCCTGGATCCATTGGTGCAAATCCCATGGCCATGACTCTGGTCCCAGAAAGCTCATCCTTGGCAGCAATCAGGGTGGTCTGACCCCAACAGCGATGAGCTAGGAATGCAGGGATGGATGATGCTTCCAGATGGATTTCCAAACAGCCCTTGTATTGGATGGGATTAGCCCTGTGGTGCCTGGGGCAGCATCATCCATCCCTGCATTCTCAGCTCATCCCTCTTTGGGTTTTGCTGCCAGGGGTGAGTTTTGTGGGAGCAGAGGTCATGGCCAGGGGGATTGGGTTTTTCCATGGGGGTTAGTTCCTTAAGGATTACTGGATCAATTGGTGCAAATCCCTGTGCCCACTTCGACAGCTCTGGCACTGGGAATGGGTCAGGATGCTCTGGAGCATCCCTCCTGGTGGGAATGAAGACTGCAGAGAGAGCCCAGGGAAGCTGTGTCCAAAGAAAAGCTGTGCCCCAGTGCCGACAGAGGAAGGTTAACTCCCACAAATGGATGTCCAGAGACTTTCCTGCGGGATCAAAGTGCAGGATAGTGCTGGGATCCACCAGTCCTGGTGTGGAGTGATGGAATGACCCTGCAGCAGTGCATGAGGTGCAGCTCCAGCTCTTCCAGCTCCTTAATAATAGAAGAGCTGTGTCTGTGCATCCCTTTCCAGCCAGGAACAATCTCCCACTCCTCAAACACTGGGAAATTCATTTCCAACAGCTGCAGGTGGAACAGTGGTTTGGGGGGAGGGAGAAGGGAAAACACTGCGGGTTTCCCGGGGGCTCCCCATGTGGTGCTGAGGGGGTCCCACCGCCTGCCAGGGTCCTCCATCCAGCCGGGAATAGCCTGGGAACGAGCATCTCTGCATCTCCGGGAGGGTTTGAATTCCCAGTCTCCCTGGGGGCAGCTGAGTGGGTTTGGGGTGTTTCCCGGCTCGGGATCAGAGGCTGCAGGAGGGGAAACACTGCAGGTTTCACCCCAGCACAGCCGTGGGGAGATCCAGGGTCCCTCTCA